TATTTCTGGGGATACCAAGGGCAGGGGTGGGGGGCCCACATCAGGCCTTGCTGAGCCCTCCAACCCTGGAAGCTGAGGGCCTCTAACTCACACTAATCCTCCTCCTGACCCTCAAACATGAGTTACAGTCCTCCCCGAAACAAAGCCTCAGGCCTAACTAGACCCCCAAATCACCTCCATATTACCCCTCTCCAAGTCCCCAAACTAGAAGCCCATGCCGAGCTGTTTCTCTCAGGAAACCCCTGCAATTTGAGGCTTTCATCTGAGTCCCTAAGTCTTCTACACAGGCCTCTTTGGGGTCCCCTGGGTGGCCAGACCTTATGTGCCAGAGAGTCAAAGATGCCCCAGAAGAGCTTGCGTGTGAGGTGTAGCTCTTCTTCTGAGGTGACCCCAAAGTTGGCCCAGCCGGTGGGGAGGCAGTAGTACTTCCAGCAGCGCTCATAGTGGTTGGTGAGGAGCTGGGTGGGAGCAAGAAGGGACACACAGGAGGGGGCATAAGCAGATGAAGGCAGTGCTTGCACTTATGAAGGTCTGGGCTATGCAAATGACATGCTAATAAGGGAAAGGATGGTATGTTTACTGGAGAACGGCCCTGGACGGTGTGTTAGGCAAAGTTAGTGTTCTCATTTTAGAGCCAGGATGGGCATTAAACTAGAGCTGGATTTGTCTGTCATTTTACAGAAATAAGCATGCTAACAATCCACGAGTAGGGGGAGTGCACATGGGCATATGGATAGAGTGATCTGTGCTTATGCAAATTAGCATGCCAAATAGAAACACAGGCAACAACCCATGCAAATATATGATAATTGAGACAAGGGCCTCCACTATCCAATATGCAGACTCGAAGTAGGGGCTAATTTAGACATATGCAAAATAGCCAACATATCTGAGTTGGGGGTATCTCCTTATGCAAACCAGCATGCAAATGAAAAAACAGGAGAGACAGTGTGCAAATATTCAGACTAGCTGTGGTGCTGTTTATTCAAATAAACGCACTCATTTGAATAGTGGAAGGCTGGTGGTCTGGGCATGCGAATAAAATGCTAATTACGGAAAGTGCTGTGCCCCATACAAATATATGCTAATTGAGGCGGGGGCTGGCTCATTTGGTTAGGCAAATTAAGAGCTAATTAAGGAATGTTAGAGGCACCAATGAAGCAAAGTGAACGTCCTGGGAGTCCTGGCATGCAAATGAGGATGCTAATTGGTTTCTGTGAGGACACTGCTCTCCCGTGCAAGCTGATTAGTTGGGGTAGGCGGTGCTGATACCACGGAGCCCCCTAGTCCAGAGCAGAGCGAGGCCGTGGAGGGTGCATGAGAGTGAGCCTTGCCCTCACCTTCAGCGGCATCTTGGCGAACTCGTTCAGGATGGGCACGTCGAACACCAGGCGCCGCAGCAGGTGTTGCAGCATGGATGGGCGGATGTACCTGCAGGGACACGCGCGGGGCTGTGCTTCTCGCCCGGCGATCCCGCCCACCCGGCGACCCCGCCCACCTCTGGCCCCACCCGCTCGGGGCCCCGCCCACCTGCACAGCGACATGAGGCAGTCCTCGATGACGTCGCGCTGCGCCTTAGTGAGCGAGCGGCCGCGGGACAGGCGGTAAACGGTGTGGAGCATGGAGTCCACCATGATGGCGCGGTGCTCGGTTCCCGCGAAGAGCGGCGCACACTTGGTGATGAGCGGCAGCACGGCCAGGCACAGGTAGCGGTTTAGCGCCAGGGCCATCTCCGTGGTGCTGAAAGTAGCCTGGGACACGGTCGGGACATCAGGCCCGCTGTACCCCCCTGGGGTTGCCCTGACGCCCGTCCTGGACAACTCTAGGCAAAGGACCAGAGTTCTGATCATTCCCCCAAATCCTGCTCCTTTCGCATCTCTACCCTGCTTCCTTTCTACTTTTTTGGGGAGGGGATTGGGAATGGAGCTCAGGACCTGGCGCTTGCCAGCAGGTGCTGCACCGCTGAGCTATATCCCCGGGGGCTTCTTCCTTTATTACTTTGGACTACAAAATTCAAACATGCACACAAGTCAGAAACTGATTAATGAGCCCATTGCCCAGATATGGCTGTTCTACAGAAATAAACGTTCTGTCTGCCTATTTCTTCTCCAACCCTCACCTTTTTTCCTGTAGGTTTTTGATTGTTTTTGGGACAGGATCTTGCTTTGTAGTATTAGCTGGCCTCGAAGTTTCCTGTAGTATTTTCACGCAAGCCCCAGCCACATGCCCTTTGCGCACAGACACCTAACTATGTCTTTCCATCCCAACAAGCACCTCTATTGACAGTCCTTGGGGACTGGGGATTTAGCTCAGTGGCACAGCGCCTGTCTGACAAGTGCGAGGTCGTGAGTTCGAGTCCCGGTACCGGAAAAAAAAAACAACAACAAAAAAAAAAAACAAACAGACAGTCCTTGTTGCCATCATTACGTGACAGAATTCTCTCTTCATCTTCATGATCAACTTTCTCCAACTGCCTCAAAAATTGCTATTTAGTCGGGGCTGTTTGGATCAGGTGCTCGGGAGGGCCCACACACTGCTCTTGGCCAACAGGTGATTTTAGGTCTTTTTATCTATAGCTGTTTCTTTTCCTCCCCCGCTTTTAAATGCTACTTATTTGCTGGAGAAACTGGGCCCTTTGTCCAGTGGAATGTTCCACATTTTGGCTTTGGTTCAGTATCTCCTCATAGTGTCAGTTAACTGGTTCTCTGCACTCTGTGTTTCCTATGAATGGGTTATAGGTTCAAGTTCCAGCGTCCCTTTCCAGCTCTCCCCTCCAGCGGTCATCCCTTCCTGCTCCTCCCCAGCCAGCAACTTGTAAGGAAATGTCAGTCTGCCCTCCCTGTCTCCGGCCTCGCCTCCAAGCTCTCCTGCACCCCTGCCAGAGGCTTTGGCCCTGCAACCTTGATAAAACTGTGTCAAGGTCACCATCTCCATTGTGCTAGATCAGTGGTCAGTTCTCATGCTCATCTTCTCTGGTTTTGTCACCTTCTGTTATTACTTTTGTTAGCAGTTTTTTTTTGTGTGTGTGTGTGTGTTTAGGGGGTTGGTACCGGGAATCAAACTCAGGACCTTGCACTTGCCAGCCAGGTGCTGTGCCACTGAGCTATATCCCTGGACTCCTGCCTTCTATTATTACTTTTTTTTTTGTCTCTTTGAGACAGGGTCTAATTATGCAGTTCAGGCTGGCCTTGAGTTCACTCTATAGCCCAGGCTGGTCTTGAACTCACAACGATCCTCCTGCCTCAGCCTCCCGAGTGCTGGGATTACAGGTACGCACCACCACGCCCAGCTTTTTTTTTTTTTTGGTACTGGGAATTAAACTCAGGACCTTGCGCTTGCCAGGCAGGCACTTGTGCCACTGAGCTATATCCCCGGCCCTGTTATTACTTTTGTACACAGCTCTTTGTGGGTCCATGGTGCTGCCATCACTGAGAATGACCAGAGGCTGTGTGTGTGCAGTACTAGGGACTGAACCCATGGCCTTCACACTGAGCTACATCCTGGCCCTTTTCTTCATTTTTACTTTAAAACAGTTGCCCGCTAAGTTGCCCAGGCTGGGCTTGAATTTGTGATCATCCTGTCTTAGCTTCCCCATGCCTGCTGGGATTACAGGCATGTGCCATCATGACTGGCTAGAATGACTGTTTTTATAACTGGAAGTTGGAGATTCCTACCTACCCTCTGTCAGAACACAGGTCTTTTCTGTTTGGATTTTTTTCCCCAACCTGATGGTGCTGGTGGTGGGATTAAGCTATGTACACAATCCCAGGGCAAATAAAAGTGCTACTGTTGCTTTCCCATGCGTTGTCCTGTGTGTCCTGGGGAGGCAGGAAGGGTGGCCAGGGCAGCAGGGCTGCTCACCGTGTCCAGCGAGGCTGCTGCCCTCATGTCAGGAAGGAAGCCCACGTCTAGCACGTGTAACAGGAAGTCCTGGTTCTCGATGCCATAGACACGGTCCAGGAAGAGCACCATGGATGCCTTGTGGTCCGGCACGAAAGAGGCTGACATTTTTGGCTGTATGAGAGCCCCATCTACAGGCAAGAAGGGCACAGTTAGGGATGGCCCCTCTGGCTCCCCTCCCGGCACCGCTCCCTTGCCAAGGTCTCATACCTTTGCCCAGGGTTGGGATCTGCAGCGGGAGGCTGATGATGCCCACAAGGTCATCCAAGGGCACGAGGGATCGGAGGATGGCCCGGATCCGCAGGGCCTCACCCTTGCCGGCTTGGATTAGCTGGGGGTGGCAGTCAGGGATGGGGATGTCATCAGACACCTGTGCCCTATTTGAAGTTTGCTTCACTCCCCCGCTTCCTGACACTCTGGTGGGCAGATCAGGCCTCCTTCCTGAGGGAATAACTCTAGAGTTCCAGCCCTGACCCCTCTGCCTGTGCCTCTTCCATCCCTGCCCTGACCACTCAGGGCTGTCACTGTCTGCATCTCACACTGGACTGGGAGCTCCATGAGATCAGCACCCGTGGCTATGTTGATCACTATAGTGTCCCTAGCAATGCCTAGCTGGGACTCACATAGTGAGAGTCAACTAATGTCACCCAACACCCACATGCAGAGGTCAAGGCTGGTGGCCTGTGCCCTCCCTCCTGCCCCACCCTGGCCTCCTCCATCTCACATGCATCTCTGGAGCACAGCGTCCCAGCAGGTCAATCAAGGCCGCATAGAAGGACATGATGGCGTGTCCCAAGTGCACCCGGTTTTCCTCGGGGGCCTCCTCACCAAAGCTGCGGAGGAGCAGGATGTTGTGGGGAGGCAGCTGGGGGCATGGGGAGGGCAGGGTGCATTACTGGGTAGGAGCCAGGAGACTCACTGCTCACGCCGCCGGTCCCTGCGGACGCCTGGTCCATCCCGCGCAGGGTCCTCAGAGATGCGGATGGCCTCTTCGATGGCAGCCAGCAGCCCCGAGCCTCCCTCTCCCCGCAGGGCTGGACCAAAGCACTCAGGCTTGCGGATGAGCAGCCGCACCACCACATTGGCATTCTCCTCCACGCTCTCACCTGGCCACCCCAGGAGGTCAAGAGGTCTCATGAGTCTGGGGACACCACGCAGCCCGAACACCAAATGCTTCTAGGGGTAAGTCTGGGTCCCTGTTGGCCCCCAGCCCCCTGCCCCCTGCCTCAGCCTCACTAGAGGGGATCCCTGACCTGGGCAGGCCTGAGGCTCAGGTGTAGACAGTCAAGGAGGGTTTGGACAGTGACCCCAGACGTTCTTTCCTGCCACCACCACGCCCTGCCTCACCATTGACGAAGACAGCGAAGCGCAGGAAATCCAGGTAGCGCTCACCGCCGCAGGGGTTCCAGCCAATGTCAGGGTACCCTTTGGCCAGCAGCATGGGGCAGCTTTGGAGGCCACAGCCTGCCAGGTAGGACACGACCTGGGGACAGGAGCGGGCTTAGCCAGAGGCCAGACCCACACAGCCCTTCTTCCCAAGTCTCAGGTCTCGGGCTTGGGGATTTAGCTCAGCGGCACAGCGCCTGCCTGGCAAGCGCAAGGTCATGAGTTTGATTCCCAGTACCAGATAAAACAAAACAAAACAAAGTCTCAGGCCTCTGTTCATCCCTGGAGCTCCTCAGCCCCATTCACCTCTGAACCCTTCAGCAAATAACCCCAGTCCTATCCACAATTGCCCTGCCGGGACCACGGCAGCAGCCCCTCCCTGGGCTCCCTACTGCCCTTGGTCTGCCCACGCACACCTATGAATACCTGAGTCAGGTCACATTCTCTGCTCAGTGCTTGTGGCTCTCACTCAGGACAAAAGCCAGAGTCCCCAGTGTGGCCCATAGGCTCCCACATGACCACTTCTTGGCTCTCTCCAGCCACTCATCTCTGTCTCTGCTCCAGCTCCCAAGGCTGACTCCTACCTCTGGACCTTTGCACTGGCTGCTCTCCCCACGCCTGAAATGCTCCTCCCCTCTCTCTCCAGCCCTCACCTCTTGAGCTTTCCTCAATGTCACTTTCTCAATGGGGTTTTCTCTGACCACTCTTATCTAACTCAAGACACCCTCACGACACTTGCTATTTTTTCTCCTTTCTCACTTATTTTCCTCCTTAACACCTGTCGCTAGCTGACAGTTGGCATGCTATTCATTCATCTTGTTATTCATCCTTCAAACAAGAATGTCAGCTACATGAGGACAGGGATTTTTGACTGTCACATCACTACTGCCTTGGGTAGGTCCCAACATACAGTGTGTGCATGATAAGTGTTGGTTAAGTGAGTAATTATAGGATAGCAGCGAGCCATTGTTGAGCACCATTTCACAACTGCTTGCAGCTGTTTCCATGACTGTTCATTGTGAAGCTGAGGTTACAGAGGTCTGGAGAGGCTGCTGCTTATCCAGGGCCACACAGCAAGGGAGCTGACCCTAAGGCGCTGAACTCCAGAGCCACACACGTCCTTGCTGCACACAGAAGCCGTGGCAGTGGGGACCACCCAGCCGGGAGCACAGGGCATGGATCGGTCATCCCATGTTTGGGCCCCTGGGTACTGTTATCTCCCTGCAAATTATTCCCCTCTGGTTCAGCTCTGGACTGCCCAGAATGCCCCCCAGGAGGGGCTCCGAGTCAGCAGGAGTCCCAGTAGCCAGGTAGGGCCAGGCCTCTCCCTCCGCACCTTCTCCAGGTCCTGCTCCTGCAGTGCCAAGGCCAGCTCATTGTTGTCAATGACAGAGGCAGCGGCCACGTCCAGGGGTGTGGAGCCCTGCATGCCTGTGGTGGGAGGAGAGGGTGAGGATGCTGTTTTGAGGTGCACAGCTGCCTGTCTCGCTGCTGACCGTGTGGCCTGCAGGAAGGCCTCCCTGTGCACCCCCTTCCTTTTCCTTCCTGTCTGGTCTATGTGTCCTCCACCCCAGGTCTGACCGGTGTGGGCTGTCACTATCTGAAACTGGACTGTCTTCTTCTCCACACCATGAGCCCAGTGAGGGCCAGGCACGGCTGTCTGGCTCACTACCCTGTCCCAGTACTCCTTGTCACCCGGCCATACCACGATGGGCCGAGACTGAGCATTTGTGGGATGGCCGAGAGAATGCGTGAGTGAGTGAGTACGTGAGTGAGCGAGCTGGCGGAATGGGCGGGCAGAAGCAGGCTCCGGGCAAGCCCTTGGGCTCAGGCTTCCTCACCCAGGCCGATGCCACTGTTTTCCAGCAGGTAGCTCAGATGGTCAAACATGGAGCGCTGGTTCTGCCGGCTGATCCGGCAAAAGTAGCAGAGGAAGCGGCAGCAGCTGGTCACCATCTTGGGGAAGCGGATCTCCTGGGGTGGCAGGGTGGGCTGGTGGTCAGTGCCTGCCCTCTGTGGCCCCTTTCCCCAATCTCCCTAGCCCAGCTGGCGGCCTCACCTTGGACTCGCCGCCCCCAAGGACGTTCACCATGACCTCCATGACTGTCTCATGCATGCCCAGCGCCCTCATTAGGTTCGGGTGTTGGTAGAAGACTTTGTTGTTCATGATGTTCCTGTGGACAGAGAATGTGTGTGGGGTCAGCACAGGTGGGGTCGCCCACACCCGGGGGAGCCATCGCCACCATCATGAGAACAGCATTTATTTACTTTCTTAAAAATTCCTTTTTTTTTTTTTTTTTAAATACTGGGGATTGAACCCAGGGCTTTTGCATCTCTGATCTCTGGCCCCTTTTTATTTTTTTAATTTTGAGACAGACTCTCGATAAGTTGCCCAGGCTAGGATCAAACTTCTGATCCTCCTGCCTCAGCCTCCCAGAGTGCTAGGATTAGCCAGGCACGTACCATTGGGCCTGGCTTGAGCTCTTACCCTGAACCCTGCACCTTTCCCTTTACAGACCTGAACTCGTTCATCCCTACGTCTGCTCTGGGAGGCAGGAACTATGACCAGCACTATTTTCACAGGTAAGGAAACTGAGGCTCAAGGCAGACTGCCCTAGGACAGAGATCTCTTTCATGTTGCCCAGTGTATCTCCACATGCTGACAGAGGCCTGGCACACAGTAGGTGCTTCATAAGCATCTGCTGAGTGAATGAAGGAGACACAGTTGACATTTAAGTGCTCCATGCCATGATCAGTATTTTTTTGATCATTCACTCATGTTTTTCATTCATTCCTGTTTTCCTCAGAATGTTTTGTTTTGTTTTGCTGAGACAGGATGTCACTGTAGCTCAGGCTGGCCTTAAACTTGTGCTTCTTCCACCTCTGCTTCCCGAGTGCTGGGAGATCACGATGACGTGATGATGATGATGATGACTGGCATGGGCTTCCCGAAGCCATGCCACCATTCTGTGCGGTAGGCATGGCTCTTCCCTATTTACAAATGAGGATATAAAAACTCAAAATGGGAAACCTCATGCCAAATGTCACATGTAAGTAGGAGCTTTTTCCCAGGGGCAGATGAAGCAGGAAGGAAGGGGCCATCTAGGAAGCGGGGGAGAGGGCAGGAAGGAGAGGGACTTGTTCTGGGAGGGGTTTATCACTGATGTGTCCTTCTGTATCCTGATGATGGGCCAGATGTTGGGAGAAAGGGATGTTCTCTTATCCAGAGGACACTACACAGGGTGCTGGCAGGCAGCAAAGTCTTGCCTGCCTCTGAGGGACATGCCCAGCAAAGGAGAGGGCCTCACCCGATGCTCTGGATCATGAGGTTCTCCTCCTGGGGTCCCATCTGCACAATGAGCAAAGAGCGGATCTGGCCCAGGCACTCGAGCAGGCTCATGGTGTCGTCCACAGAGGACGGCGAGATGCTGTACGCCCGTGGCAGGGCACGAAGCAGCTCGCCGAGCCCATCATACTGTCGGTGAAGGAGGCTGAACATGGCCCGAACCAGCTCAGGGCTCTGCACGAAGTCTTCCTGGGCCCAGCGGACGACCATGTGGGACACCAGCTCCTGCAGGGACTCTGGGAAAGGGACATAAGGGTCAGAGCACAGAGCCAGAATGATGCAGGAGAGGCTTCTCACAGCCTCTCAGTTACCAACCACTGCCATTATCCTCCTGCCCAGGGCTCTGGGATTCTGGCAGATTTTCCTCTGTTGCCCTGTTCCCACGGCCCTCTGTGATCTGGCTGTTGCTTCCCCGCCTTCATCTCTCACCACTTGCCCACTCAACCACTCTGCTCCAGCTGTGCTGGCTGCATAGCCTTGGCACCCTCTTCCTTTCGTACCTGTCCTTCCCCAGGTCTTTGCACACCTTGGTTCCTCATTCTGACCCTTTGTCCTCATTCACATTTTATTTTCCCTCTTAGCACCAATAACCACCTGAGGTTTGTGTATCCATATATGTATTTAACATAATGTTTTCTTTCTTTTCTTTCTTTCTTTCTTTCTTTCTTTCTTTCTTTCTTTCTTTCTTTCTTTCTTTCTTTCTTGCGTTCTCCCTTTGAAAGAGGGTCTTGCCATGTAGCCCAGGTTGGTCTCCATGTCAAGAGCCTTCTGCCTCAGCCTGCAGAGTGCTAGGATCTCAGCTATGCACCACCACACCCGGCTTGTATTTGGTATAATACGCTAAGCTCCTGGACAGCAAGGGCTTTGACTTTCCCACTGATGTTTTTTGACAGCCTGCTAAGAGTGTCTGACCCAGAGCTGGCCCAATAAATGATCGGGAATGTTACAGGATAAAACCTTTACCAACACCAGGGACTCCGTCCTTATGACCTGTGGCTAATATAGTATATGTTTGCATAGTGACACCTTGGCTGACACTTATAGTAAGTGCTTTTGTAACCCTTCAACATGGTAACTGTCTCATCACAAGGGAAAAGAAAAACAAATGCTGAGGGCCTGGAGGCTGCAGTGGTAGAGGAGCTGCCACCATCCTGGGCTGCGTGCATCCTGGCTCTGGTCCATAGAGAAACCTGGCTCTGGTTCCATGCAGAAGCCTCTCCTGCATCATTCTGGCTCTGTGCAGCCCCGGAACTGGGGCCATCACCCCGGCAGCCTCCTCCCGGCTCGTCCCCTCTCAGTCCTGCCTTTCTACCCGCTCTTCTATTTCTCCTCAAGGCCTGTGTTGGAGACCGAGGTTCTCAGGCAGAGCCACTCGCTATTCCTTTCCCTGTCCCGGCTGTCCTCAGTCCTCACGGGGTTTGGGCTCCTCTGCGGGTGGCTCGTCCTCTGGCTTCTCCTCCTTCTTCTTCACCAGCCGCACCTTCTCCAACAGGCTCATCAGGCGGCTGCCCAGAGAGGTCTCCTCCTCTGGCTCCTCCTCCTCCCCCTCCAGCTGAATTCCTGGCAATGAGGAAGGGAGGGGATGTTACTCGCGTGCTTGCATATTCACCTGCTCAGTCATGTACTTCATTGCTCATTCACACGCGCACGCGTGAAATTTTCCACTTCTTTCTCTTTTGGGTTGGTTTGGGTTTTTGTTTTGTTTTGAGACAGGGTCTCACTCTGTAGCCCAGGCTGGCTTCAAACTTGCAGTGATCCTCCTGTCTCCATTTATTTCTTTACATGCTTACATTCTTGTTCATTTATTATTATTTTTTTATTTTTTTGTCTTTTTGAGACAGGGTCTTGCTATGCAGTTCAGGCTGGCCTTGAGCTCACTTTGTAGCCCAAGCTGGCCTCGAACTCTCAACAATCCTCCCGCCTCAGCCTCCTGAGTGCTGGGATTACAGGCGTGTGCCACCATGTCCAGCTTGTTCATTTATTCATTCTGTGAAACACTTGCCTTTTAAGTCAGCTACTGCAAATATGTTCAAAGAACTAAAACAAAAACGTCTGAAGAGTTAAAGGAAACTATAATGGCAGTGAAACATCCTGAAAAGAATATTAATCAAGTAGATAATATTTTTAAAGAACCAGGTCAAATAACTGCACAATTATGCTTCCACTAATGTATAACTTTAAAAAAGGAAAATACAACAACCAAAATAAAAAATCATGAGAGAGGTTCAAGAGCATATTTGAACTAGTGGGAGAGAAAAGCAGTGAATGTGAAGATAGGACACAGATGTTCTGCAGTCTGAAGAAGTGAAAGATAAAAGAAGTGATGAAGGAGAGCAGCAGAGCCCTGAAAGGTATCATCAAACAACCATGACCTTCAAATGAGTTCCAGAAGGGCAGGGCAGAAGGGGTCAAAAATATTTGAAGAAACACTTGTCCATAACTTTCCAGCCTTGATGAAAATATTAATGTTCATATTTAAGAAACTCAAACTCCAAGTAGGATAAGCTTAAAGAGCTCCATACCTAGATACATCTTACCCAAACAATTGAAAGCAAAAACAAAGAGAAAATCTTGAAAGTCAGCCAGAGAAAAATGACTCGTCACTAGCCAGGTATGGTGGCACAGGCCTGTAATCCCAGAACTCTGACAGGCTAAGGCAGGAGGAATGCAAATTCAATCCTAGCTTGGACAATTTAGTGCCTAAGTGAGACTCTATCTCAAAATAAAAAATAAAAAGAGCTGAAGCTGTAGCTCAGTGTGAAGGCCCTGGGTTCAATCTCCAGTACCACACACACACACACACACACACACACACAAAGATATCACTACGTACAAGGAATCTCAATAAGATTATCCTCTGACTTAGTATCACTTAGCCAGTCAGCTCTCAGCCCAACTCTGAATCTTTCATACATCCTTCTAGTCAGCCAGCCAACCAGCCATCTCTTTACCCATTTATTTATTTATTCATCCTTCTACACATTGATTCCCACACCTATCCATTCACTTGCCTATAGTCAGTCTATACACCCATCCACCCAAATACTCATATAAACATATCGTCCACTTATCGCTTATCTGTTCACCAGCCCAGTTATACTGCACCAACACACAGATGTTTAAGGCCAGGGAATCTTCGAGAAACTTCAGAAGCTGTCTCAAGAGAAAATTAGCAGGGAGGGCTCTCCGATCCTTCCTCCTTACCACAGTGGGTCAGCAGGTCTTGATGAAAGTCCTGCAAATCCTGTCGGATGTCTTCAGGGAGGGGACAATCTTCCTCATCTGCACCGTCCTTGAATTGCAATAGCATGTTGATCTAGGGAAAGGTCAACGGTTTGAACGAGGGTCAGAAGCCACAGAACAGGAACTCTGAGATCAAGGATCAAAGATCCAATTGTAAGTCCCTGTCTAAGGTCATGAGCCAAAGTGTGTGAGTGAGAGAAGAACATCAAGGAAACAAGGGAAGAGGTCTGGAAGGGGACAGGGCCAGTCTTAGGTGACACCGAGGTCAGGTTGGGTCAAAGAGCAGTATAAGAGATAAAAATATCAGGTGTTCAAGGGCCAAGTACTGGTTTTGAGGTTGAAGACTACCATGGTCAGTCAGGAGAGAGGCTGAGGCTGGGCTTAACCAGCGCAACTAACTAGAGTTGGGGGTCAGAGGACCTGTTCCTGGGGTGGGGAGCGGAACTCGCGGGTACGTCTTGCAGTCTCAGCTGCGCTCATGGTGAAGGCTTTCATGAGGAGGCCGTAGCGGTCCCGCTGGTTGGCCTGGAGCTTGTCCACATAGCGCTCTGCAAAGGCTGCCAGGGACTCCACACGGTGCTGCAGCTCTTGGTCACAGAAATACTCCAACAGGTGGCACATCTGTGGGAAGATGGCCACACAGTAGGAGGGATGGTTGTGAGACCACTAGGACCTCCTTGAAACTCTGCCTTCTCCGTGGCCCTGCTTAGGTCCAGCCACCACCAACTTTTGCTCCAATCCTTAAGTCAGGCCTCCCTATGGTCTCCTCTCAGATGGAAGCCAGGGAGATCATTCCAAGCAACAGGCTGGGCATGGTGGCACATGCCTGTAATCCCAGCACTCAGGAGGCTGAGGCAGGAGGATTGTTGTGAGTTCAAGACCAGCCTGGGCTACAAAGTGAGTTCAAGGCCAGCCTTGAACTGCATGGCGAGACCCTGTCTCAAAAAGACAAAAAACAACAGCAACAACAACAACAAACCAAGCAACATTGCTCCATTGCTTTATGGACTTCTGCTTCCCCACTGCCTCAGGACAAAGTCTAGACTCCCAGACTCGTGGCCCATTGGACCTTCAGATGAATGGAGACCGGAAGACAGGAAGACCCAACTCACCTGTAACTTCACAGACTCTGGAAGCTTCATCTGCAGCAGTCCCTCCTCCAAGTCTTCTTCTTTTTCCCCTTCTGCCGCCGCCTCTTCCTCTTTTTCTTCGTCTTCCTTCTCATGTGCCACTTCCTCCTCATCCTCCTCCTTCTCCTCTTCATCTTCTTCTTCTTCCTCCTCTTCCTCCTCCTCCTCCTCCTCTTCTTTGAATACTTCAGGCTCAATCATCTTCAAGATCTGTTTCACATCCTCATCACTGAAGACACCCATCACCTGCAAGACAAGGTCTGAGTCCTTCACTTGACCTATAAGGACTCCATAATCAGTTTCTGCCCTCCCTCACCTGCTTCTGTACATGTCAAATTTATTCCTGTTTTATCTGTTTATTTATTTATTTATTTATTTATTGGTCTTTTTGAGACAGGGTCTCGCTATGTAGTTTAGACTGGCCTTGAGCTCACTTTGTAGCCCAGGCTGGTCTCAAACTCGCAGCGATCCTCCTGCCTCAGCCTCCCAAGTGCTGACATTACAGGAGTGAGCCACCACGCCCAGTCTTGTTTTGTCTGATATGATTCCTCCCACAGGCAGAATGGCATCTGCTTCCTGCCATCTACCCTCCTTGTGTCCTTTCTTCCAAGCTTGAACATATGTGGCTCTGGGACAGGACACACCCTACATCTCAAAGCGACCCACAGAGCTCCCAGCACACACCACCAGCTCAGCAAGCACAATAAAGATACTAACATATTGAAGTATGGGAAGAAAGATAGAAAGTAGATGAAAGGGAAGAGAAGGAGAGAGAAAGATGGAGGCAGGGAGGGTGATTGGCTAGCTGAATCAGTAGATTAATGGCAGAGGTCTGAATGGGAGATGAAGGTATCATGATAGGGAGATGAAGGTATCATGCGTGGATGCATAACAGAAGGATAAACAATGTACAGGTAGGCAGGAAGGTGTACAGATAGCTTGACTGATGCATAAGCAAGGAAATGAGTGTACAGATAAAAACATAAATGAGAAATAGCCATGGGAATGGGTGAGGTAGGTAGAGGGATGGATTAACAAGCATACGCATATAAAGCTGGATAGATACATAGATGAATGGTTATATGCGTACATGAATAAAGAGATACATGAAATAAAGAATGGAAAACAGATGGATGGGTGTAGATGGCTGGGTGGATGTGTGGGTACGGAATGGGTGTACATGCACAGGGATGGAGAAGTACAGATATGGGGGAAAGGTAAATGGACGTGGAGGAATGGATGGATCTGTGGGTGATTATACTGGTAATGGATAGGTAAGTGGGATGACGGATGAACTGATGTATGAATGAATGGGAGGATGGATGAGCAAATGGATTGAAATAGATACATGGATGGATGGTAGACGGATATGTGGGTAGAAAATAGAAGGACAGAAAGGTGGATGGACTTGTAGGTGGGAAGATGAGGGTATATAATGAATGAATAGAAAGTGAGCAGATGGAAAGGTGGGTGGAGGATGGATGGGCTGATGAATGAATGAATGATGGTTGGATGGAGGAACGGGAAGAAGAAAGACGAGATTATTAAATACATGCATAGAAGATAGATGAACATGTGGAAGGAAAAGTGAATAGAGGATGGGTAGATGGTGGAGGACACATGAAAGGTGGATAGGTGGATGGAGAGATGGATGAGTTGGATGTATAATCGGGGGGTTGCTACATATATGAAGGAATTATTTCAATGGTAGAAGAATGGGAGAAGCAAGCAGGAGAAAGCTATTACCAGCAAGGTAGACACAAGCTTGAGCACGGGCACGAACTGGAACTCCACGGAGCCCCCGACAGGGTCTCTTGCGTGCTGCCCGCCGTCTCGCACGGCCTCACCCAGCATTCGCAGGGCCTTGTCCCGCAGCGCCTCCAGAGGGATGGCAGGGCTGAGGCGGGCCGGGGCTTCTGCTGCCCCAGCTGCTGGCAGAGCCATCACAAAACAAGGGGGTGAGAAATGGTGCGGGGGCCTCAGGGAGGTTGTGACTCCGACACCAGGCAGGCCGTGGCGGCGGGGACCATCTTCGGAGCTGTGTCCAGGTGGGAAGAGTGTGATGGCGCGAGTCTCGGATGTGAGGGGCACGATGTACTCTGAAAGCATGGAGCGGCGGCTGCGGCAGGCACTTTCGAGGTGGATGCTGATAAGGAGGTCGTAGTAGCCGGCACGCAGAGGGCCCGGCAGGTGTGCGTCCTCCAGCGCGTGCAGTAGCTGCGCCTCATCCACGTGGCTGCACAGGGCATGAGCCACGCGGTTGTTGCCCAGGGCACACACTGCTCGGTAGAGGGAGAGGGTGTGCGAGTGGAAGCGCTGCAGGTCCAGGCGCTCGGACAACTCCAGGATGTCCATGCACCTGTGGTGGAGGTGAGGAGCACAGCCAGGGACAGAGAGGGCAGGGAGTTGAGAGATAGAGACACAGACCACAGAGAGGCAGAGAGATGCTAGGTCAAAGTTGTTGCTCTAGCAGGGAATCCCAGTGTCCCACGGGGTCAGGCCCCCCAAGGCCTTTGGAGTTATATACATCTAGCAGTCTTTCATCAGTCCTAGAAGTCCTTAAGGGCTCCCTCTCACCCATCCTTTGGGATCCCTGGGATGGCCTAGGACCCTGGGATTTCTGAGAATCTGGCTAAGATCAGGTGACCCTGAGATGTATCTAGGATCCTCAGATTGGGTTTGATGCTTTTCTGGCAGATCTGGGTAACCTGGTTATGTTTGAGGGCCCCTAGAATGTCAGCTCCACCAGGGAAGAACACGTAAAACAGAACAAAGGACATAGCAAGTACCCAATAGATATGTGTTGAATAAGTCAGTGGGTGTGTTTAGGGCCCCCATGCATAGATCTGAGCATCCTGAGTTATATGTGAGCATTACTAGAATGTCACTTAAAGCCAAAGGCTTTGCGTCACCAGGCTAGAATGCTGCGATCACACAGGAGGAGCCTAGAGTTGTCAAGTGAATGAATAAAAAAAAAGATTAAGGCCTGTCGGGAGCCTCCTGGGATGCCTGGCTGTGTGCAGAGACCTGAAGATTTCCAGGCAACCGTGTGAACACATCTGTAGCCCTGGGTGTGTCCGGGTCTCTTGGAGTGGGTTGAGCTCTCCAAGGGACATGTCTAAAGCTTCTCTGAGTAGTGTTCTGACCTGAAGTCATCCTCTGGATTCCTTGATGTGAGTCTGGGCTCCCCGAGATGGGCTCAAGGCCCTGTAGTGTGGGTCTGGGGGCCCTAAGGTGAGTCTGTGTTTCCCTGGGAAGCACCTGGGGGCCCCTGAGTCTGAAGCCCCCCAGCGTATTCTCTGGGAAGGCCTGAGCTGAGTCAGCACCTCCCAAATGGGGCTCCTGGAGTGGTCTTGTGGTAGGAGGAGACACTGAGCTCAGTCTGGACGCCAGAGGGCTGGCAGCGTCTGTCCCTGTGCCGTCAGGCAGGCCCTAACCTGTTCTCCTCGGGGATGTGCAACGCCATCATGGTCAGCGGCTCCTGGCACTGCACAGCCCAGCCAAGCCGCTCGCCAGCACGCCTCGTGTCCACCTGCAGGAAGTGGTTGGGCATGCGGCTCCAGGAGACTGGCATCAGCATCTGCACCTCCAGCCGCGGTGGGCACTGCGGGGCTGAGTTCTTGCGCTCGCTCACAAACATAGCGGCGGACAGTGGCATGATGTTCTGGGGGTGTAGAACCATCATGAGTCAGGGTTCCCAGCCCTCCCCAGCCCTGCACCCCTTTCCAGAGTATCCTCTTCCACCTCCCCACTCAGCCTGCCCAGGGAATTCCCCTTCCGTGCACTCTTACCTTCTGCTTCCCCAACTCAAACTGGATGACATTCTGGTTGGTGGGCAGGACGAAGACAGCAGGAAATAGCTTCGTGTTGGGTTCCACCTGCCAGGGCAGAAGAAGGCAAGGGTGAGAGTGAGCTGGGGGTTCAGGACTCAACCTCAAATGCCAGGGTCAACCCTACAGATCCTTACTTGGACACTGGGTGCTACACAATGGCTCTGAGGTCACCCTTGGGCTGCGCCACCCCTGATCCAGCACACCCAGGATAACCCATCGTCTCCAAGAGTATTTTTTTTTTTTTTCTGATATTGGGGACTGAACCCAGGCCTGAACTACATACCAGCCCATTTTAAATTTTTCCTTTTGAGGCAGAATATTATTAAGTAAATAAATTGCCCAGGCTTGAACTTTCAATTTTCCTGCCTTGGCCTCCGATTGTTCTGAAGTTACAGGTATGTGTCACCATACCAGGCTTGTCATCTGTGTCTCTTTCTCTCTCTTTTTTTTTTTTTTTTTGTCTTTTTCTCTTTTTGAGACAGGGTCTCACTATGCAGTTCAGGCTGGCCTTGAGCTCACTTTGTAGCCCAGGCTGGTCTTGAACCCGAAGCAATCCTTCTGCCTCAGCCTCCCAAGTGCTGGGATTACAGACGTGCACCACCACACCTGGCTTCATCTGTGTCTTAGTGTACATGATGCCCCCTGCAGGGATGTCTTTCCTTCCCATGTCTCTCTCTAACATACTCATTTTTCAAGAACTGGAAAGACCAACAGTCTTGGGAAGCTGAGGCAGAAGGATTGCAAGTTCAAACCCAGCTTGAGGAGTTTAGTGACTTAGTGAGACCCCGTCTCAAAAGAAAAACTTTTTCAGAAGGTTTCAGCATGTAGCTTATAAAGGCCCATGGGTTCAATCCCCAGTAGCATATACATAGACAAAACAAAATAAGACAAAAACAACAAAACAAAATGGAGAGTGCCCTCTGACCATCCTCCTTCCATTTTCCTAGTGGTACTCACCCTGCCAGTCTTCCCTACTCCAAATAACACTATCTGGGCAGCAGTTTTGCCATAACCAAACTTGGATCTAACTGCACCTCTAGATCCAGCCCCCAGTTTACAGGAATACAGGGGACAGAGGAAAGTTACAAAGACACCACAGAGTCTGTAGGCAAGGAGGCCGGCACTGCCCAGGTGTTAATGTGCAC